AGAAGGGAATGGCAACTCTATAGGTGTTGAAGCAAAGGAGGATTCAGAGGACTCTGAAGACGATATGGAAGATATAAGAGATATCCGATTGGGCGATGTGGTGATAAGCCTCCACTCAAAATCATCGGATGCTGTTGTGCAGTACGATTTTGGGAAGTCATTGCAGGAAAGTGAGTTTATACAGATTGGCGGCAAACTGAACAAACCCCCAAACATTGTTTTGGGCGCTGTTGCTCAGCTCAAAGCACAGTATGAGCTGAAAGGACAAAATAATATCTCTAAAACATTGGCGGATATGATATCGAGCTATCCAGCACTCGGAAAAAGGTTTCAGTATCCAGGATCTCAGAAGGACTTTCTCTTTAAGTCAGATTTTGTTCACGAAGCGGGAAAGAAAACTTGTAAGGCTTGTCGCAGCCAGAACAATAACCTTGTAAAGAGAGATAGTCGGTCTGATAACTCTCCACAATTACATTACGGGACCATCGGATCAGCGGATCAAGTGATGAAAGATGCCGTCCTAAGAGATAGATGGGCACGGGAGAAAAGTATTATCTGCTTTGAAATGGAGGCTGCTGGTCAGTACTACAATCCATCTGGAAGAAGAATCTCAGTATCTTACTTCTGATTAGGACTCATGGACTCATTTCCTTGCCTTGTCATCCGAGGCATATGTGATTATGCTGATTCCCATAAGAACAAGGTCTGGCAGCCGTACTCTGCGGCGACAGCGGCATCCTATGCAAAAGAAATTCTTCACATTATTTCGGGACAGGGAGTCGTGAATATGGATCCAATCAAACAGAGTATGTCAAGCTCAACTATATATTCTATTTACTCTATTACCTTTTTTAATAGGATAATCTATTAATTGGTTCTTAAGTCGAGAGATCTATAAGAGAAGTGCATTGTGCTGTCGAAAACACAAGTGCTACAGTCCAGGTCCTCAGTATTGACAGCAAGCACAAAAAGGTCTTTGACAAACTGCCATATGTAGAAGGCTCGAGTTTTGATGCGTTGGATGCTGAGCATGAGGTGAGATGCCATCCTGAAACGAGGGTTGACTTGCTTCACCAGATCCTTGAGTGGGCAAAAACTCCAAACCAAGAATGTATATTCTGGTTGAACGGTATGGCAGGAACTGGGAAGTCAACCATTTCTCGAACTATAGCCCAATTATTTAAGGAGAAGGGCCAACTCGGGGCTAGCTTCTTCTTTAAACGTGGAGAGGGGGGCCGTGATTCTGCCAAAAGGTTCTTCACCACAATTTGCGCACAGCTTCTGCTTCAAGTTCCTGCATTAATTCGCCACGTTGAATTAGCCATTGACACAGACCCATATATATCAGGTAAATCGATAAAAGAGCAGTTTAATAAACTGCTCCTTGGGCCACTTCTCAGCCTGGACCAAAATAAGCCCACGACCATCGTGATTGTGATCGACGCATTGGATGAATGCGAACATAAGGATGACATACGGGCTATACTTCAGCTTTTGCCTCAGCTGCAGGGATGTACAACTAGGCATATCCGAATATTCCTAACAAGCCGGCCTGAACTGCCAATCCGTCCCATTTTTGAGGAAAGTAACAATCATCGATGTCTAGTCCTCCACGAGCTTTCTAACACTGTGGTTGAAAAGGATATCTATGTCTTTCTTAAACACGAACTTTTAGGGATAAAAAGAAGGCGAAAAATCTCTGGTGAATGGCCAGGTGATGATGTTCTTAAAACTTTAGTGAAGAGGGCGGTTCCGTTGTTCATTTCCGCAGCCACTGTTTGCCGTTTTGTTGATGACCCAAAATGGCGCCCAGAAAAGCGTCTTCAGACTATTCTTGAAGACCCAGCAGCAACCTCAGGCTCCCAGATGGACAGAACATACTTGCCTGTTTTAAATCAACTTCTTTTAAATGCAAATGAGAGAGAGATCAAGCAGCTGAAGCAAGAGTTTCAGGATATAGTTGGGGTTATTATTCTTCTTGCGACTCCGCTTTCAGTCAATACCCTCTCCCAACTGATTAACTTACCTAGTGTTGATGTTAACAATCGCTTGGACGGATTCCACTCAGTTCTCAGCGTGCCAGAAAATATTAACGCGCCGGTCCGGATTCTACATCTATCATTTCGAGACTTTCTTATCAACACAAAGAGCACATTCTACGTGGATAAGCAAGAGACACATAGAAAGATAGCATCACATTGTCTGCGTGTTATGGAAACCCGACTTAAACACAATATCTGTGGCCTAGCAAGTTACGGAACAGAACACAAGGATATCGACTCTCAGGTTATCAAGCAGCACCTGACGGCTGAATTGCAATACTCCTCCCGCTACTGGGTGTATCATCTTGAACAGAGTGAAGGTGGTATCTCCGAGTCTGAAATTCTCTCCTTTCTAAGGAAGCATTTCCTTCATTGGTTAGAAGCACTGGCTTTGATCGGAAGTATATCTAATACAATAGAAATGATAGATATACTGAAATCAAATACATGGGTAAGTTTTTTGGAACCCTACAGTTAAGCAGTGACTGATACATATTATAGAAAAGCATTGGTACTGAGATTTCAGACTTTCTCTATGATGCAAAAAGGTTTGCTCTTCAAAATACTTATATAGCTGGTATTGCTCCACTTCAACTCTACGGCTCTGGACTGGTGTTTACACCTACCCAAAGTATTGTAAGAAAGACTTTTTTTAGCGAAATAATAAGACAAATACAGAGTCTACCGATTTTAGAGGATTCTTGGAGCCCAAGCTTACAGACACTCGAGAGCCATTTAGGTTCAGTCTTATCAGTGGCCTTCTCGCCCGATGGGTGTACGCTGGTGTCAGGCTCGCGCGACCATACTATCAAGCTCTGGGATACAATGACTGGCACAGAGCGCCAGACCCTCAAGGGCCATTCGAGTTGGGTCAAATCAGTGGCCTTCTCGCCCGATGGGCGTACGCTAGCATCAGGCTCAGGCGACGATACTATCAAGCTCTGGGATACAACGACTGGCACCGAGCGCCAGACCCTCAAGGGCCATTCGGATTCGGTCCAATCAGTGGCCTTCTCGCCCGATGGATATACGCTGGCGTCAGGCTCGAGCGACGATACTATCAAGCTCTGGGATACAATGACTGGCACAGAGCGCCAGACTCTCAAGGGCCATT